CTCCGCGGAGCCGGCGCGCCTCCAGCAGGGCGGGTCGCGTGGCGCGGCGGCGCTGGGAGACGCCACGACGTGGCCGAGACCGATCCATGGTCGGATTGCGTTTCCGCGACGCGGTTAGGAACGTCACAGCTGGACCCGCTGGGCACATAGATCGGCGCGCCCCCCAGGGGGCCACGTGGAGTCTCGGCGCGCGAGCCGAAAAGCGTCTCGGGGACACGCCAGCCACGATCAAGATCTTTCTCGGAGATTGCGCCCTGGCGGTGGCACATCTCGTCGAAGCACAGCGGGTTGCGCCAGACCTGATTATTGCACTTTCCCATCATAGCGACCACCTGCACGATGTAGCGAGGCCAAAGGCGGCCGTTGGGTTGCCCGGGGTAAGCAGGGCGTCACTCCCGGACCTCCACAACTCCACACGTTCGCGCAACACGTGTGGAAGCGAAAGGAAGACGGCGCACACCTCGTCTCTGCGGAAACCACTTTGGATCCGAGGATCCCCTAGAAGACACGGGCAGCCACGCATGAATTGGCGCCCTTGTTCCCGTTTGCTCCTGCACTTACGGCGGGGGTTGCCCTCTGTGAGACGCGACAAACCGATCTGCATGATGGGCGGCAAATGCTCAAATTTGGCACCGTGAACAAAGTACCCGATGTCCGCAGCGTCGGCCACAGGGCGGCGCGCGCCCCCCAGGCCCACGATGCCCCGCCGGCCGTGGCCACGCGCTGCACGGACGCACAGTGCCCGATCGTGTCCGCCGTCGAGCTCCTCGAGCTCAAGTCGGCCCTTTTTGGCCGCCACTGCGATCCACAACTTCGAACGCCACCATGAGCATCAGGGCGATGTAGTTCATGTCGTATTCGAGCGGACCCACGCACTGCGGGGCGACCCATGCCCCCGCGCCGATGGGCCAATCGGTCGACTACCTGGGCCCAGCCGCCCACGGCGTCGCAAGATGGAACCGAGTTCAAGAAGCCCTCGTCGAACGGACCCTCACCGCGGGCGTAGCAGAAGGGCCTGCGGCGAAGGACCTTGGAACACCACTAGCTCGTCATGATGGGCTGGCTCTTCGCGATTGGGAAGAAAACGGTCGTCGGCCTGCGCGAGCGGCCCGCCTTCCCCCATCGGCCTCAGGGGCAGTGTCTGCCGAGGGATGTCGCGCGCCCGCCGTCGCCCCCTGTCAGCTCCGACGCTGCGGGGCCTCCTCGCACGCGGCGCGGGGCGCAGCGACGAGGACCCCCTCGGGGTCAACAGCGGGCACATCGTAATCTGGATCCTCGTCGTCTGTAGCGCGTTTCAGCGGCGCGTCGGGCTTCTCCTCCGCAGCGGCCCCTCCTTCGCCCCCCCCCCTTCGCGGCACCTCCACTCTCGCCGCATCCAGCGCCCGTTAGGTCGGCGAATCGACGCCGGATGTCGCGGGCGCCAGCTCCAGGGCGCGGAGCAGACGCTATGGGGGGATCCCCCGAAACTGCCGAAGGCGAAGCCCCGGTGGCTGATGCAGTTCCCATGTCTGGGCCCCTGCTCCTGGAGGCCGCAGACGTCGGGGGGGCCGGCCAATCTCCGCGGCGCGCGCTTTGACTCTGAGACTCCGGAGACTGGGCGGCCACCAGCTGCCGCGGCAAAGGGGCCGCAGACCCCGTCAACTTCGCGGCGGCGGAAGCCGCGCGCGGACCCGTGGAGCGCACCCGAATGCCGGGCGGAAGGGCCTCGGAGGCAAGCTGCAGGCCAGCCTCCGCCTCCGCTGCGCCTGAAGCGGCCGGCTTGGCCTTCTGATTCAAGGTGGGCACGAGAAGCTCCTCTGACAGGGTACTCTGATTGCCCCAAGGCCCTGGGGGCATAGCGCCCTCTGTCTTGGACTCGGGTCTCGGAGCCCTCGGAGTCGCCAACGCAGTCGGACTGCGAGGACGCTGGCGCCAGCCTGACGGGCACTCCGGCACCCTCGGCTGGCTTGTCAGCGCCATTGCCCTTGCCGGTGCTCGCCGTGCCTCGACGGGCACTGCTCTCGGCCGACCCTGGCTGCCCCGCCCGCGGGCTGAGACGCGCCCCTGGCGCGGCGCCCGAGGACGAGGCAGCGCCAGCAGCACCGGTCGCGCTTCCGCCCCAGTTTCCGCCAGCTTCTGTGGCCCGATTTCCCCTGGCGTTTCCGCGATCATCATCCTCATGATCGTGAAACCGGCCGCGGTACCGTAAGGTCATGATTTCTGGAGAGGCCAGCCCAATCTTGGGCAATCCAATCACGATCCCAGTCACTGCAGGGCACGCGGTCAGCCTCGGACGCCACTTCGACGTCTTCAGTAACGCCACCCCCGTGGCGCGGCGCCCAGGGCGTGATTCCGCGGTGGCGAGACCTGCTGTCCCAATGATAGTCCCAGTGTCGCCACGTCCAAGCCGCTGCTTAGAATACGAATGACGCACCTGCTCAGGAGCCCAGCCCCTGCGGACCCTGTTGTCCATCTCCTCCAGGGCCAATGATGGCCAACGCCCCATCGCCGGGCCGCCCCTCTCGGCGCCCCCACGGGGGCACGCGAGCGGGCGCGCGGGGCACGGAGTGCCATATATGCGCCGAACCTGACAAGGCCCCTGCCGACGTCAACAAGATCCTCGGTCGTGCTCTCCTTGGCGACGCCAACACGATGCCTTCGCGTGTCTCCACGCATCGCATCACTTACAGGCGCCAGAAGCGTGTCCCCACGCACTTCTTCGGCCACTGGGATGGGCAATCCCGCTGCACGAAGATCCCCAACCTGTGGCGAGACCGCCTCGGCTTCGAAGATACCCCCGTCGCAAGCCAGCCAGCATCGCACCCCCTGCGTCACCGTTCGGGAGGTCCGGGGCGAGATCCGTCAGCGCCAGGCTCAAGGCCTCGCGCCGAGAGTGGACGCACGCGAGGAGTGCCCCCGCGGAGGGGAGGTCGAGCGCTGGCCAATCAACGCAGCCCACGTCCTCAACGGTCTCTTGAGCCGTCAGCAGGGCAGCGCCATCCCCCTTTTCATTCTCCTTCGCAGTACACTGATTCTAAAAGTGAATGTCACGACCGCAATGATTGCATATCATCATCTTCGACTCTTCCAGCGTCGGCCCACGGGTTTGAATTTACGACCTTTTCCCTCGCCAGTCACGCGGCGTCGGCCCCGACCCTTTCCCAGGAAGATTTCTTCGTAATCGACACCCGTAAAGGGTCGCTAAGGACGTCGCAACCCCTTTGCCACGCAGCCGTCGAGCGCGGCGCCCACCCTTACCTCGCCCCTTTCTCATGGCGAACATTTCTCCATCGACGATTTGCACGCTGATATCCTAGTAGTACATGTTAAACGGTCTCCGCATCTCCCAGTCCGCGGGGTAGGTCCGACATATCTACGTGTCCGTTTCCGCCCGAAGAGAACGCGTCAGCATCTCCGCCAGAATCGAAGGGCGAGTTTCCGTTAGAGGCTGAGCCGCACAAGGTGGTCTGACTGTCAGGAGCAGTGCAATTGGCAGGTCTAGAAGGCAGCCCCCAGCTCTGGTGCGACGACGACGTTGGGCAGCCTCTGCCAGTTCCCTGGTTTCGATGAATTGCAACGAATAATGCTGTAGATTCCTCTGGGCCATGAGGGTCGTCAGCCCGCACGTCAATAGGCGCAGCCGCGTCTCCGCCGGCGCTTGTCCAATAGGTATTCGCGTTTCCGCGCTGTGGTTCCCTGCAACACATTGCCGATTGTCGGGGGCGCGCTCGGCCAAGTAGCCGTGCGCATGCGACCCAGTAGCTCATCACATTGCTGCTGGGCCCGGGGCATTCGGCCATCTCGAACCTGGCAGGATCGAATCCGTTCTTTCGCCTGGTTCGGACCTGAAATCGATGACCGCCGTACCTGAAGTGAACTGACGCCTGTCCGCAAGGTTCTCGTGTCTGGCGCTCACAAGGACCACGATGTACGTGACAGGGTCGGTACGGATCCCTTGTAGAATCACGCCATGGACACGCTGCAGGCATGCAGCCTGTCGTTGCGGAGTCGCGCGGGCACTTGCGACGTTAAGCCACGCATGGACTTCACGGGTGAACTCGAGAAAGGATGCGTTTCCTGAACGCTCCTAGGGGCCGTCGCGTGATCGCCTCCACCGTCGACGTTAGCGCATTGCATGTAGCCGATAGCGCAACCGATGATTAACCAGATAATGCCGGCCGAAGGTGATGAAGTTCAAGGATTGATTCCAAGTTGGGTCATAGCTGGCGTTGTTGGTTGTTTTTGAAGTACCTGTCGCCGTGAGTCAGCGAATCGGTTGTGTAGGCATGTCCCCGTGCTGGTTTAAGAGCATGGGGCCTGCGCTGCCGCGCAACTGGCGTAGAACCATGGCGTATACGTTTTTCGGGGTACTCCGGCGGACATCGTCCATAGGGGACACGACGTTCCCGCTATCGAAGTTCCCGCCTGCTTGCCACCGCCTGCTTGCCAATAGTTCCGATCTGACGTTGCCACACGGTGCTGTGAAGTAGTATTGTTGTAGACAGAGCTGACCATATCTTAGTGAGGCCAGCTCAATTACCAAGTACAAAGCAGGATGAGGAGGGTGGGATGGTAGGTTGAATGTAAGAAGTAGGATGGGGTATCCTCCAGAGGACTGATCAGACCCCGTTTCAAATGCAATGGTGGGCCGCAGAATCCTCCAGCGGCCCAAACCAACAGGACGCCGGCGCCTTGAGCCGGACGCCAGCGGGATGCTCGCTACGCTCGCTACGTGTGTATCCCAGACCTCTGATCTGCTTCAGAGTAAGGATGGTTGTGAAAAATGCTACGAGTACATCGTGATCTTCAACGTCACGCCGCTGCCCGTCTACAAAGGGAGGCTTACCGAGCCTCGGGACAGTCAAAAAACCGACTCAGGATGAAAAAAACTGTCCAGGGGAAGGGATCCTGACCTCGGGGGGTCGACGTTGTGAAAAAACACGACGTCGGGGGTCTGGAGAGGATGATTGATGGAGGATGAAGGATGGAGAGGGAAGAGGGGAGGGGGGGAATGGAGGCTCCTGCTCGCTATGCGCGAAGCTACACCTGGAGCGCTTCTTGTTGCACAGGCCGTGCATGAAGTAGTAGCACATTTTGGTCCTGCGCGGGAGGATGAACAGGGACCAGGCAAAACAAGACAATCGCATCAGAGCTCCAACAAGCCACTCCGAACATAGTATAGACCTGCACGCTGATAACCAACAGCTCGGACCGACTCGCAGACGAAGGTGGGATGTCGAAAGCCACCCGCGAGGCCCCTGTAGGCTAGGGCACCCCCCCCGCCGAGGAGAAGAAGGAAGATAAGGAGGAAGCGGAGGAGGGAGGAGGGAGAAAGAGGCGGGGGATCGGATCGGATCGGATCGAAACTCGTGAATCGTATCTCTGGACACGACCTGTGGGCCCCCATTGGGATCACCCCACAGCTGCCAAGGGATTTAAAGCTCTGAGTGGGGTAACAGTGGCTCCCCAATAAAGATACGACTGCGGTAGGGTGAGGAGTAAGATAAAATACGTGTGTATATATAAACAAAAAATTAAAAATTAAAAAAAGGCGAGGAGGAAAAAGAAGGGGGCGGACATACGGGGAGGAAGGAGAAGAATTAGGAGGTCTGGAGGTCAGGTCAAAGGAAGAGGATGGGTGGAAAAGGAAGGGCGCGATAAGGCGGGGAGGACAAGATGTGAGAGGGAGATAACAGGAAAGGGGTGGAGGGCGCGGAGAAAGAGTGGCGGGGCGAGAGGAACGGGGGGGAAGGAAAGAGAAAGTGGAAAGATTGCAAGCTGGATTTCGACGGCAAACGTTACATGGTGGACCTGGGACGACCCCAGCGAAAGATGCGCCTCAAACCCCGCTTGCGCTGAGGGCTCCTGCCTTTGAAACAAATTCGACAAAAAAAACAGTGTGTTGCCTGTCTTCGCCGGATGGCCGCCCGTGTTTGTTTCGCTCCGCCTTGGGAGTCAGTCGGACATGCACCCAAAACGATGCGGAAACAAGGGCCAGACACTCCAGGCTCAGAACAACCCTCCTCCTCCTCCTCCTCCCCCTCCTCCCCCTCCTCCTCCTCCTCCTCCTCCTCCTCCTCCTCCTCCTCCTCCTCCTCCTCCTGGTCGTCGTCGTCCTCCTCCTCCTCCTCCTACTCCTCCTCCTCCTCCTCTTCCCCCTCCTCCTCCTGCTCCTCATCCTCCGGCAAGCGCATGGCGGAAAACGGCGGCGGCGCAGCGGGGCGGGGAGCGGCACGAGCCCACCCGCGCTCGGCGGAAGGCCGCTCGCGTCGACCGGCCCGCCCGTGCCCCCGCCCCGTGCCGGCCCCGTGCGCCGCCTGGGTCGCGCACGATTTCGCCCCGTGCCCGCGGCTGGCACTCCTGGGGCTCGTTGTTGGAGGCTTGGAAACTGGCACCAACACCAGCCCAGGAGGCTGCCTCCACAGGGGGGGAAGGCGATCCTAGATCTCGGTGTTGGTGGTAATATCTCGGTCACCCTGGAAGCCAGAATATGACCACCGTCACCGAGATCGGGATCTTCTTCCCTCGGTGGAGGCACACCGCCGATCTTGGTGTTGGTGTCAACCTCTGGGCCTGCGACCTTGCCCCCCTCGCGGAGGGGGGTCCCTGCCCAGTCCTCGGGGCAGCCCCGCAGCCGTCCGGCAGCCCACCCCGTGCGGCGAGGGCGCGCGGCGGGGCTGCAGATGCGCCCCTCCGAGCGCCGCGCCGACTCTCTGCGGGCGGGGCGCGGCCAGCGGAAGCGGCCGAGGATGGGCCGCAGGGGCAAGGGTGCGAGGGTGACCTCGGGTCGGGCATGTCCCCCTCCGCCCAGCGCGTTGGGGCGCACGGCAGAAAACAGTCCTCTCGCCCCCCCGCCCCGACGTATGATTTGTAGTTTCTCAAGGTGAGCGTACCTCCTGGGAGCTCCCAAAGGCCAGAGAGCCGCCAGGACGCCGCGCGACACAAGCGCTATGCAAGGTTTACCCCGTCAGCCCACACGAGGTTCAGCGCACAGCGCCTCCAGGGTAGGGGCGTTTTTAACGCCCTTGACCATGGGCTCTGTGAGCCCACTGAAGACATAGCGTCTCGAAGCACTGCCAACCCTATGTCCGTACGACAGTCCTGCCTCGAGCCAGCACTATTCTCACTGAAGGTGTCGAAGACGCACTCTGCGTCAAACACACTTTGAGAGAGAGAGAGAGAGAAAAACAAAAAGAGAGAGAGAGAGAGAGGAAGACCTGCGATTTCGCTCGGGAAATCATCACCGAACTACGAATGTGCCAGCATCGGCGTATGGAAAAACAAGCGCTTCGCGCGACACGTCCTCCCCAAAGAAGGGAACGCTGGAGGACCCGCCCCACGGGAGCACGCCAGGCCACAGCGGCACGGCCCACAGGAGCACGGCAGACCACGGGAGCACGGCAGACCACGGGAGCACGGCAGACCAGCACGGCAGACCACGAGGGCATGTGGCAGGCAAGCACGGCCGACCAAAATAGCCCGGCAGCCTGGCACTGCAGACCGCAGCAGCACGGAAGACCAGCACGGCAGACTGTATCGGCACGGCAGGCTAGCACGGCAGACCACGAGAACGGCAGCTTTGCACGGCCGACCACAGGAACATGGCAGACTAGAACGGCAGACCACAGGAGCAGGGCAGACCATAGGAGCACGGAAGTACAACACGGCAGACCGCAGCCGCACGGCAGACCAGCACGGCAGACCAGAACGGTAGACCAAAGCAGCACGGCAGACCAGCACGGCAGACCACAGGAGCATGGTAGACCATCATGGCAGGCCACAGCAGCATGGCAGACCAGCACGGCAGGCCACAAGAACACGACAGACCAGCACGGCAGACCACAGCAGCACGGCAGACCAGCACGGCAGACCACAGGAGCACGGCAAACCAGCACAAGAGACCACAGCGGCACGGCAGACCAGCACGGCAGACTACAATAGCACGCCAGTGCCTAAGAGCACGGCATACCATAGGAGCAAGGCAGACCACAGGAGCACGGCAGACCACACGAGCACAGCAGGTCAGCACGTCAGACCCCAGCAGCACGGCAGACCACAAGAGCATGGGGCAGACCACAGCAGCACGGCTGACAGGGTAAGCATCGCAAGCTCGCACAGCGGACCACAGGAGCAGGGCGGACAGGAACGGCAGACCAGCACGGCAGACAGTAAAAGCTCGGCAGACCACAGGAGTACGGCAAACCACAGGAACATGGCGGACCAGCACGGCCGAACACAACGGCGCGACAGAGCAGCACGGCAGACCACACCAGCACGGCAGAACTCAGCAGCACGGCAGTCCAAAGCAGCACGACAGGCCAGCACGGCAGACCCCACCCGCACGCCAGAGCCTGAGAGCACGGCAGAACGCATGAGCACGGCAGACCAAATGACTACGGCAGATCACAGGAGCACCGCAGCCCAACACAATGAATTGCGAGCAGCTGTGTCGGTCGTTTGTGACTCGTCTCCGCTTTGTTTTGAAGTTCTCAAGAGGACGACCCAAACCAGCCCTCCAAAAGTGGCGATGTCGATAGAGACATCCTCAAACCATTGATGTTTGTAAGATCGTACTGGGTTCATTGCTGAAGGCATCAAGACGGCCTTAAAGAACCCAAATCGGGCCCCAAGATAACCCCAAGAGCACCCTCGAGACGAGCGACGATCGTGATTCCGCTCAGGAGACCATCACCGAACCAACCATGTACCGGCATCGACGCACGGACAGACAAACGATTCGCGAGAGACGACCTCCCGAAATGTTATGTTGCTCCCATCGTACTTAAAGACCACATCCCAGAAAAAAATCGAGCACCCAGAAAAGTGTCGAAAAAGTGTCGAAAGAGTGTCGAAACAGTGTCGGACGAGTGTCTCCCAGGGCCCGACATGTGAAAACCCTCGAGTTTCGGTACTTGTTTGCTGGTGCTCGAAATTCTTTCTGGTGATCAAGGCTAAAGTAGGCTGGAACATCTGAAGGGGCCCTGGGACACAGACAAATAAATACACACAAATAACAGGATCCCCCATATTTTCCTATATTTACTGGGTTTTTGTCTTCCCCCCCACTTCCCATATTCTCCCATATTTTCTGGGGAATCGACGGTTAATTGTGTCTCTATGTTCTTTCCCCTCCTGAACATCATGACCCAAATAGGTGTGTTGGCAGGAGCATGGCAGACCACAGCGGCACGGCCGACCAGCACGGCAGTCGGGAGCGCGGCGGACCAGCACGGGCCCACGGCAGACCACAACAGCAACGCGGCAGACCAGCACGGCAGCCCACGGCAGCACGGTCGACCAGCACGGCAGCCCACAACAGCACGACAAACCATCACGGCGAACAACAGGAGCACGGCAGACCGGCACGGCAGACCACAGGAGCACGGCAGACCAATACGGCGGACCACGGCAGCACGGCAGACCAGCACGGCGGACCACATGAGCATCGCAAAATATCACGGCAGACCACAGGTAAACGGCAAACCAGCACGGGACATACAACAGACCACAGCAGCACGGCAGACCCGGACAAACGGCAGACCAGCACGGCACGCGACAGGAGCACGGCAGACCAGCACGGCAGACCAAACAGCCGCAAGGCAAACCACGAAAGCGCGGCAAGCCAGCACGGGAGACCACAACAGCACGACAGACCCGCGCGGCAGACCGTGCTCTCTCTCTCTCTCTCTCTCTCTCTGTCTCTCTATTATGCCTGTCGTCTTCCTCCTCCTCCTCCTCCTCCTCCTCCTCCTCCTCCTCCTCCTCCTCCTCATCCTCATCATCATCATCATCATCATCATCATCATCATCATCATCATCATCATCATCATCATCATCATCATCATCATCATCATCATCATCATCATCATCCATCATCATCATCATCATCATCATCATCATCATCATCCATCATCATCATCATCATCATCATCATCATCATCATCATCATCATCATCATCATCATCATCATCATCATCATCATCATCATCATCATCATCATCATCATCATCATCATCATCAT